AAAGTGAATATACCGTTAAGGATATATAAACTTAGGTCCCAAAACCTACCATAATACATCATTTTGTTTGATATAATCATTATAATATCTTAAATTCAACCCCTAACTTGATTTACTTTCAAGATTTTTGAAATTTCACTATTATCTTCATCTTACATCACATATGTATGCCGAAGATCTACTAAGCTATATATATTATAGTTAAAAATGAAAATTATGTAAAATGAAGATAAATGTAAAATTTATAAAAATCTTGGAGTTAGATCAAGTTAAAAGTTGAATTAGAAGAACATTGGATAATTACAATGTGTATATATGATATAAAACGATATAATATGGTGAGTTTGGGTACCTAAGCTTATATACCTTTAAGGGTATATTCACTTTTCCATATATATATATATATATATATATATATATATATATATATATATATATATATATATATATATATATATATATATATATATATATATATATATATATATAGAGAGAGAGAGAGAGAGAGAGAGAGAGAGAGAGGTGGTTGCAAATATACTTTCAATATGTGTGGGTGGTGTTAGGATGATTACGACATATTACTTTGAAAGGGAAAGAAGGAGATTTTGAAAGCTTGTTGTAGATGTCTTAATTAGACTTATTGTCCAAAACTCAAAAATGGAAGCTAGCACGCACAAAATAAGTATATTCTTTTTCGAAAATAAATAAACACAAATATATTGTGTTGACACTGAGTCTTTATGGACGTAGATTCATATTATTATTTAGATATCAATTATAGATTATGTCACTCATATTATATAATAAAGATATATAACTTTCGGCCGAGTTAATAATATAATTATTAACTAGTGTTGTAGAACTCCACGAGTTGGCAAATTACTTGGCTGAATATTTTCTATTCGGTCTTTTACCAATGCAAGTTATAAAATTCAAGTACTCCTGATTGGCCCCTTATTAAAACGAGAATTATTGTAAAACCCAACAACTTGGTTATTAATATGTATAATACAATTAATAATTTATTATTTAATACACATGTGATTCATGGGCGAATCTATAATAGATCCCGGGGTATCCTCGGATACCCCTAAAAAATATTTCGGTACTAAACTTTTTTTTTAGAAAAATTTCATTTTATGTAGTTTATTTATGCATAATATTAATAAGTTTAGCGAGGTAATAACACAAGTTGTAGTTGATTTAGATGGTTAAGGTGTTAGGGAATGTTATTGGAGGTTTTAAGTTTAAATCTTCTTTTCAGCATTTATCTTCTTTTATTTTCTCAGCTACTTTTATATAGTTTTATATGGATTATAACTATTATATTATGATATTGTAGAAATTAAAAACAAATATTGAGTTATGCAAGTGATAAGGTGTTGAACTTTAAAATTTGAAGTCCCTATTTCTAATCTTTGCCCTTACATGGGTTTACTTAATTTTGTTTATCGTTTTTTTCAACTTAAGCAACATAACCTTCTCAATTTTCAATTCTCAACCAGTTAAGCATTCTAATGGGTTTGGGTTTAAACCCGAAACCAAGTTTGAAAAACCGAGAAACCGAACGCATCGGTTTGGGATACCCCTTTATTGTGACCCTAGCTCCGCCACTGATGTGATTATTACCACATATATATCTAAAACTTTCAGTAATTATTCACGAAGTAAAATCATTTTGTGTTTTTTAGCTTTAATTTATCCATAAGAATTTATTTTTGTTATATATTTCAATTAACTTATGATTTTGATATATATATATATATATATATATATATATATATATATATATATATATATATATATATAGAGAGAGAGAGAGAGAGAGAGAGAGAGAAAGAGAGTTAAGAACTCATACTTTTCGCGAAACCAGGAATTAAATATGAAACGTTAAATCAAAATTAACCCATTAAGGATATAATTATCATGTTACCAATATCATTTAATTTTTCGTATTATTGAAAATGTTAATAAAAAGGTCTAAAAACTAATATTACAAATCAAATATTAGCATTTTTTTTTATAAAAATAATTATTTTTTATTTTTTTAAAAATGCTAATTGTTTTAGAAAACATGATTTTTTTTAAAAGAAAAAAAAATTTAATTTTCTAAAAACAATAATTTTAAAAAATAAAAATAAAAACTGGAATATATATATATATATATATATATATATATATATATATATATAATTTTTTAACCAAAAATTTAATATTTTATGAGCATATATATATATATATATATATATATATATATATATATATATATATATATATATATATATATATATTCAAGTGCATATATACATATTTTTTATACTATAATATTCGTAAGTAAATCTTAAAAAAAAAACCAATGTTTATTAACTAATTGATAAATACAATAGCACAAGTATTTTATTCAATAGAAAATAAAAAATAATAAAAAATCATACAAAATTTCAAAGTGTTTGATGTCTTCATGTCAAGATTTCTATATTTTATTCGATTTATCATTTTTCATATCTTCAATATTTCCACAAATTCTTCCAAATCTACTTGGAAATTATAAAAGAAAATGATTAATACAACAATACTCACAAACACACACACACACACATATATATATATCATGTAGGATTCACATGTGAGTATTTTATGTAAGATTAGCATGTGATTGTATTTTTTAATAAATTATATATATAATTTTTTTAACCAAAAAAATTGATATTTTATGAGCATCTATGTATATTTTTTAAGTGCATATATGCATATTTCATATAGTATAATATTCGTAACTAAATCATAAAAAAATCAATGTTTATTTACTAATTTATAAATACAATAGCACAAGTATTTTATTCAATAAAAAATAAAATATAAAAAAAAACAAAAAATGATACAAAATTTCAAAGTGTTTTTATGTCATCCTATCAAGATTTCTATATTTTATTTTTATCATTTTTTACATCTTCAATATTTCCACAAATTCTTCCAAATTTACATGGAAATTAAAAAAAATGATTAATGCAAGCATACTCACAAACATATATATGTATATATCATGTAAGATTCACATATGATTATTTCATGTAAGATTCGCATGTGATTGTATATTTTAAGAAATTAACGTTTTAGGAGCAAATATGCATATTTTTTCAAGTTCACATACACATATTTTTTACATGTAACTTACATATGAATTACATGATTCACATGTAATTCACATATCAATTACATATGTGAGTTATATGATTCACATGTAGATTACATTTAATTCACATATGGATCACATATAAATCATATATGAATTACATCTATATGCACACATGCATTTTGTGCGAGTGTTCTTCGTTAATTATTTTATTTTATTTTTCTTGTGAATTTTTCATTTAAATCTTAAAAGATACAATCACATGTGAATCTTACATGAAACAATCACATATGAATCTTACATTATATATATATATATATATATATATATATATATATATATATATATATATGCATTTTTGTTTTTTGTGAGTGTTCTTGTATTTTCTTGATGATTTGGAAGAATTTGTGAAAAAATATTGTAGAGGTAAAAATGATAAATTGAATAAAATATAGAAATTTTGTCATAAAGACATGAACGCTTTGAAATTTTGTAACATTTTATATTTTTTATATTTCATTTTGTATCGAATAAAATACTTGTACTATTATGTTTATAGATCAGTAAATAAAAATGAGTTTTTTTTTTAATTTTTTTTATTTTTTTTTTATGATTTACTTATGAATCACCTGTAACTGATATGTGATTCACTTGTGATTTACATTTAAGTCACTACACACTTACAATCTTTCTTTACGTTAATTGCTAAAATATTATGCTAATTCATACAAATCATATATGATTCATATGTAAATTACATGTGAATTAAATGTGATTCATATGTGAATTACATGTGATTTAAATGTGAATCACATATAATTCATATGTGTTTTACTTGTGATATACTAATATTAAATTGTTTAAATGGTCATTTATTCATTATTTAAATCCATATACTATTTTTTAAACATTTGAACTCACAACTTCATAATCACATCTTGGTAAATGGTTGTTGAGGTTTATTAATACAATTTAAAATTTATGACTTTTAATAGTTTATTAAAAATACAAATATGAGAATGAAAAGCAAGTAGTACCCTTTCATCAACAAGAAAATGTCTTATATCACCGTAGAATAAGTTTGACACCCACCTATTTGGATTAAATTAAAAAAAGTTAAAATTATGTAACTTTCAATGGTAAATTGATACAAATACGAAACTAGATCACTAGGATAGATTCCATTCCGATAAACAGATCATGTTGCAGGAACAAGCAACTTGAAGGTGCCATACAATGGTTTCGTTGCTGAAACATAAGTGTATTCACCAATGATTTGATTAAACTTTCCCTCGAATTTTCTATGAGATATATAAATTGCATATCCAGAGCAATCACGATAACTTCCATTCCAATAAAATTTGAATTTGTAAGGGATAATGTCATAAAAAGCCTTAATTTTGTAAAAAAAGTCGGTTTTACCCTCCGTCAGGTTTTTGTGTCGTTAATACCGCATACTTGTCTCACCTTTTGCGTTTATGCCAAATACCCGGTTGCAAGAGGGTTTACCGGTTACCCCTCAACTTTCCCTTCCGTTTCTTAACCAACGAAGAAATTAACCCTGTTTGGTAAACGTTAGACATAGAGCTCCACACCCTCTCTCCGAAGCGTCAACTCAATCTCAGTAAATCGTAGTCTACTGAGAAAAATCTTGGCCTTTTGGAAGGGAATCAGCACTAAATTTGGGTATTTGAAGAGGATTAGGTCTACACTGTTGGTATCGTTGTTCTAGCAAGAAGATAGTTGGGTGATAGTCTCGTTGAGTTGTTGAACCAGTAAGTTTCTCAAATCCATGATTAAAGAAATTATCTATTTAAAATTCTTCGATTTTGTTTGTAAAATCTTTTTGATTTTGCAGGTAAATGTAATGGCTTCATCGGATGACGTTTTCAAAGAACTTTTTGCTAGTATATATGAGCCCTTCTCTGGACTAAATGAGATGGATTATGAGCTCCATGGTATTTATATGGATCATGAACCAAGGCATGAGTTCGTGACTGCGCTTGATAAATGTAGGGACATCTTTCTCAATGTTCTACTTAGTGATGAAAACTTAAGGAATTCAAGCATGGCTGATGAAATCAGAGCACAAGTTTATCATGCTAATGAATGGCAAAGTGATGAAGAAGGTGAACAAGAGGCGGTGAAGAATAAGTACATAATTCATGATCCAAACACACCATGGGATAAGATGGAACCTAAGGTAGGTGATATGTTTGAGTCTCCTGCACAACTTAAGTTTTGTATTCAAAATTATGGGGTGTCAAATGGATATCAAATATACTTTGAAAAAATGTGATAAAACTAGACTAGTTGCAAGATGTGGGAAGAGGACAGAGATGAATGATTGTCCTTTCAGATTGTATGTTGGATGGATGTACAATGAAAAATCATTTCAAGTCAAAAATTTGGTTGGAGAGCATCGTTGCAGTAGGAAGTTCAAATTTGGAAGTCTTGTTTCCCCTGAATGGATATGTAGGCATTACATTACTAAAATTGCAAACACGCCTAAGATGAAACTTAGGGACATGATTGCTGATATCAAACAAAGGTTGAGATGTGTAGTATCCATTGGGCAAGTCCGTAGGGCAAAAAAATGGGCCACTGAGTTGATTGAAGGAAAACTAACTAAACATTATGCTAGGGTATGGGATTATGCTGATGAATTATTAAGGTCCAACCCAGATGCAACATGCAAAGTTAGTGTCACTGTCAATCCATATGGGAAGAACTACTTCCACAGATTTTACATAGGTTTCAAAGCTCTAAGTGATGGATGGAAATTAGGGTGTAGAAGATTAATTAGTTTGGATGGATGCTTCCTGAAAGGACAGGTGAAGGGTGAGTTGTTGACTGCCATTGGTAGAGATGCTAATAACCAGGTATATCCTATAGCATGGGCTGTTGTTGTCACACCCCAAAACCACGAACGGCGGAAACGTTCAGGGGTGGAGGACGTCATGTACAATATCACAACAGTGTGAAATAGTAAACAAGCAACAACATCATCCATTGCATTATAAGTAAAGTTTTAATACATGTGTGTTCTTTCATTGTAATAAGACACCAAAAATATAATCAAAATAAAAGACGAGACTTGTCTGCTCCGTCTTCTCAAAACCTGGCCACCGTACCTGTCTACTGATGACCTGAGAATACAAGTTATTTTGAAAGAGAGTATCGGCTTTAAAGCTAGTGAATTCATAAGTATTTAAGTGTCATTGTCTTGCTTTGATAAACTGTTATGAATGTCATGTAAAACCTTTAAGTAAGACAGTTGATATAAGTATGAAAACCCTAAGAAATCCCTTATTTCCTACTAGTATGAAATGTAGTCTTCTACTAAGACCCGAATGTTTTGTAAGTAAAATGATAGTTTTTCCTTCTATAGACTAGTACTAAAGTACTTAGTCTAACTTATCGTTTATGTGAAAGTATCACCACTACTAGAAAAAAGGCCTTTTACGACGCGCAAAATACGACGCTCATTGATCTATGTTACGCAAAGGAGAGTGACATTAGAAAAATGTCATCTCTTCAAAAAATTTAAGGATAGAAGACACGCATTATTGCACGCCCTTAAATCAGTGTCTAAAAAAAACACGGAGGGCACCTATAATAAAATGCGCGTCGTCTAAGGATGTCGCTTTATAATTTTTAATGGAACGCGCGTTCCATCCTTTAACAGTAGGGGGAAATGAAATTCTGAAAAAATTAAAAATCCCGCCTTCCTTTTTTTTCTCCTTTCCCTCTTGCCCAAATTATGGACGCTCCTTCCTTCCCCCTCCCGACATTGACTGCTGCCTACTTCTTCCCTCACTTCTACCTACTGGAACCACCATATCTCCCACTCGATGTTGAAATTGTTAGAAAAAGCCCTAATTATACTCTCAAGTCTAAATACAGAAAAAATAGAAGATGGTGAAGAAGTAGCAGTAGAGGAAGTGGAGGATGAACAGTCGAAAATGGAAGGAATGGCATCAATAGCGTTGTTACTAGATGGGTCAATCTCGGGTCATTTTGTTCAGCTTCCCGAGTCCGTTTATTACCAGATGGGTCAATCTCGTCTTTTCGTCTCGACTTCATATCTCTCTGTAAAGCAACCGACGACTTCATATCAGAAGTGGAGGTGGCAGCCTAAAGACTGTAATTTGCCAAAGTAAGCATACTCTGTTCTTCCACTTTTTAAAATCGAATTAATTGTTGAATTCTTGATGATTTTAATTGTGTGTTTTGGGGGAAATGAAATGAAGGTTTATAGGGAAATTGTTGGTGGAGAAATCGAAGAACAAGAGGCTTATGTTCGTTGGAGATTCGTTGAATAGAAATCAATGGTGTGCATGGTTCAATCCATAGTCACAGGATTCGCCAAAGTAGTCACGATCCACGTTCCAAACGGCTCGATCCCAAACGGGGTACGATTGCGTACCGATCGCCGACAGAAACGCCCTCCGGTACGTCATGCTTGCGATCCCACCAATTCTTTAAATCGATACCTGAAACGTGAAATTGGCAAATTGGATTGCACAGAAACGCGATTGGGATCGGGAATTTTGGTTTTGGAACGCCGATTTGTGAAATTGGCGGGAAATTGTTTTTATCCGGAGAAAAGTCACCGACGCTTGATTTCTTCCTTAAGCCCTCGATTCCATGTTAGGTGTTTGGACTTCCAGATCTGATTCTTCTTTATCACTTTTAATAATATATAATAGCTATAACACTTATCCAATATCATCACTTCACCATGATTTCACTTTTGTTCTACACCTTTCAGGAAGAGTTGTTGATGGAAGAGAGATGATGGTTTAATTTGCCAAATATGGGCCTAATGCTGAAAAAATGTGAGTCACATTCACATATAATCTAATATATTTCTAAATTCCAAGAATCAGATATGAAAAAGTATATGGTTGTTTGACTAATGTGGTTGTTTTTATTCTTGTTTTAGTCACAAGGGAAGGATACTTGAACCAGTAGAAAAGCTGAAGGGTGGATTAAGGAGCCGAAGTCCTAGACCAAGGTATGATGAGAATGTAGTTTTGACCATTCTACCCTTGTATTGGAGTTGATGTTTACCCAATGTAGTTCCAGGTATAGAGATGAATACAAGGGCTACAGGAGGATAAGTCGCAGCAGTAGCAGGGACAGGTATTATGGAAGGGACAAAGATCGTTACAGAAGTAGGACCCTCATGCAGTAGGAGTAGGAGCCCTGATTATCATAGAAGAAACAGGAGGGGTAGATATGATGATGATTATGATGATGAGAGAAGCCCAAGTAGGTCTCCTATAAGGTAAAAAGACGTAAATGCCCTTATCATTAAAAATAGCATCCGTAAAAAGTTTTGTTTGTCTGTTTAAAGTTGATGTTTCATTAGAAACCTGATGGACTATTCACTATTCTATATGTGTTTGTTACTTACATAGAAGTACTAGTGTTGAAAAGACTAGAATGCCCTTATCATGTGATGTGTCAATAAACTGATGGATTACACAGAAGCAGGTCTCCTCCACGTAGGAGTAGGTCACCTTCTAGAAGCAGAAGCCCTGAAGGAGGAGGAAATGAGAAAGCATCAACATCATCACCCTATTCCCATGGTAGAGCTGATTCCAGAAGCCCTTTGCAGCGTTCTGATTCCAATGTAAGTTTTTTTTACCTGTGGAATCATTGATTCCGAGTGTTGATATTTTTTTATTGATTACTTTTTATCTTATCTTTTATATATTATTAATTATTATTAACCCTTGGTTGTGGTATAATATGTAGGGTTTGCCTGGACCAATGGGGTTGATGAGTACTAGTCATTTGGAACAAGAAGCTGCAGTACTTGCTTTGTCAACTTTGATGACCATAGCTCCTGCAGAAGTTTATGCAGAATTTGAAAAGGTAATTTTTTTATTTATGAACTTTCAAAGCAACTTTTATTGTTTTACATCACTTGAATTTTAGTGCATTAGGTCGTATAATATGTTGAAATGTTGAACGTTTTATGATGAGATTGTTTCAAATAAGGGAAGTAGAATAAAGGATAAATTAATTCATAATGTCTATGAAACCCCGTATACCCTTCTCTTGAACGGTGAAATAAATTATAGAGGCGAGATAGAACAAAGGAGTATGGGGTGGCTGAATTATTCCATTTGGATCCTCATTACACAATAAGTTTATGTTTGAACCATATAAAAGTGTGTCTAGCTTTGTATGATCCAGTTGCAGCAAAAGATAAATTATTCAATTTTTTCAGCATCTGTTGTGTATGGTGACAGTTTTGTTTAGGTTGCACCCACTAAGAATGTATCAGCTTTTTTAGCATCTGTTGGAAAGTGAATGTTCAAAAGGAAAAAACGATATAAGTGCACATTTGTTACTATGCTAATATGAATTGAGGATTAAGCTATTAGTTTCTAAATCACAAACAGTGTTTGCTGCCTTTCTTAATCTGTTTGAATACGAAATCAAGCCTGTGTTTATATTTGATTTGATTGTTTATGTGAGTTTTTGGTCGATTTTGGTTTAATGTTGTGATTAAAGTAGGGTTTGTTAGAATATAATGTTGCAGAAATTATCCTTATGGGTCTTGACACATCAAGTTTGTTAATTATTTAGAAAAATATTATAAATTATCTTTGATTTCATGAGAATATAAATGCTTGTTTGTCATATTCAATTCACATTCGGTAAAATGTTGTGTCCACATGATACTAAGAAATACAATTCTGTAATTGACTTGGGCATAAACATGTTATTTTGATCAAGAGAAAAAGAAAAATAGCCTAGATAATTAGCAACTTATAAGTAGGTTGGTTGGTGTTATGTGAAAGTGAAAGGGGTAAGTGAAATTTGAGAGTGATTTGTGTTTTTTTAGTCACATTGCATCGGACTCAATTCCAGCTTGGAAATGGTGGTTTGTTTGGTGCTAGTTATATTCAGGTAAAAGATTTCCCATCTCTTATATTAATGTTTGGTTTTAATGTTTGGCTTATTACATTACTTTTGTCTCCTTTGTTGTATTGATGAGGCTTGAGCATGCTGGGCTGTTAATGTTCCTATTTGTTTTCATTTATGCAGGTAACAATCTTGTTGAAAGGACTTATGAATCAGATATTAATGGTAACAAGTTTAACACTCGAGTCCATACGATTAGATGTTAATGGTAACAAGTTTAACACATGTGTCTTTGTTATACATACAAATTGAATGCAATGGATTGTATTTTTTGTATATGGTATTTTATTTTATATTATGCAATGGATTGTATTTTTTTTGTATATGGTATTTTATTTCTATTATGAGAGATTAAATGCAAATTTAATTTATAAATTAATAAATATATAAATATATTTAAAAAAAAAAAATTAAAATTACGATACGCAACAATGTGTGTCGTCTTCATTTATGACATGGCCTTTCTTGACTGGTGCTTCCTTGATACGCATTGCGTGTCATAAACATGCGCGTCGTAAGGTTACGACACGCAAATGCGTGTCGTCTTCCTTTATGACAGGGCCTTTCTTGATACGCATTGCGTGTCATAACCGCGCATCGTAAATGCGCGTCATAAATGCGCATCGTAAATGCGCGTCGTCTATATGACAGGGCCTTCCTTGACGCGCATTTGCGCGTCGTCTGAGCGTTTTACGACGCGCAATGAGCGTCGTAAAAGGCCTTTTTTCTAGTAGTGCACAAAATAAAGTAAACAGGAAAAAGTATAATTATGTAAGTATTATCCCTGGATTACCAAGACTAACACGACATCGCCGAAACGAAAGGTATAACCTAATGAACATCCGAAGATTGTCAAACTAACCCCTGTAGCGAACAGTGGTTCCAGGAATGGTTAGTCCCGTAACTGACTCTACATCGCTGTAAGCGAAATAGATAACCTAATGAACATCCGAAGATTGTTCAATTAACCTCTGTAGCTAACAGTAGGTTCCAGGAATGGTTAATCCCGTAACTGACTCCTAATATAAGTAATAACAACCAAATGAACATCCGAAGATTGTCCAATTAACCACTATAGAGAACAGTGGTTCCAGGAATGGTTAATCCCGTAACTGACTCCCATTGAACTGGGATGGGCTGGATGATTTACTGAAGGTACTAATAAATCATCTTTACGAATCGAGTTTCAAGTATTCATGTAAGTATACACAGGTAGATGTATCTACGTAAAGGTATTCATGTAGTGTGTTCATGTAAGCGTATTCATGTATCATGTAAGCATATGTAAAGGTACTCATGTATCAGGTAATGTACTCGTAAAGACTCATGAATGAACTGACTCTTGTGTGATTCCTTGTAATAGGAATAATGTTTGATATCTTCTAACTGAAAGGTAATTGGTTGTTCAAGAAGGTAAAGTTAATGGTTTTGCAAGATATCTAAGAGTTTTGAATAATAATTAAGAGTGACTTGATGTCATGTTAATAAACATTTCAAAACCAATACTTTTGTTATCAATGTATTTTAAGATAGAAAACCATTTCATGCATCACATTTTGTAGTATGTGAAATCTGTTGAATGAAAACACAGTTATAAGATACATATATATGATTTAATAACATGTTTTTTTCTACTTGTATCCCCCCCCCCATTAAAGCATTTAAAATCATTTAAAACATTGATTAGGGGTATGAACTCACCTGTAGATGGTGGTTTGGATGAATTGGACGATGCAGGATTGTTAGGTGTCAAGTGAGGACTTGTACACACACTACGATCCTAATGAACACATAATCACACATATATGCACTCAATTAGGCTTATTTACTAATTGATAATGTTAATACTGTTGGATAAGGTGTCTAAGTCCATAACTTATTTGGTATATACTTGACCCGACCCGGCATGGTCCATTTGGGTTGCATCTCATCCAAACTATTTATGGATAATTTTATGAGAGTTATACACATATGTTTATTAATATATTATAAGTTATAATATATTAATATGAAGTCATGTTATTTAATTAGTTTTAGTCTTAAATTAATTATGAATTAATTTAGAGATTAAAAGGAAGACTAATTAGATTATGGGCTATTGGTTTTATATAGTGTGGGCTAATGCTCTTTTGTTAATGGGCTAGGCTTATATGGAAGTCCATGGATGACCCATGGAGCTTTTAACCCATGAATCCTTGGAACAGGAAAGGTCATGGGTTATTAGGGTTTCACCCTAACCATGCACACTATATAAGCATGCTTATGGAGCATGAAATGGTGCCTAAGTGTAACTAGTGAACTAGTGTGTGTGTGCTTGTGTGTGGCCGAAAATACAAGTGTGTATTCTCTCTCAAAGTTTTCCAAGAGTTTGTGGTGTTTT